GCACAAAGAAAGAAATAATCAACAGATGGAACAAACAACCTGCGGAATGGGAGAAATATCTGTGAACTATTCATCCAACAGTGACTAATATCCAGAATATACAAAGAAACCAAACAACTCAACAACAACAAAAATACAAAAATTCCCATTTAACAGTGGACAAAGCAAAGGCATGAGTAGATGTTTTTCAAAAGAAGACATAAAAATGGCCAAGAGGTATATGAAAAAATGCTCAACATCACTGATCATCAGAGAAATGCAAATTAAAACCACAATGAGATATAATCTTCCACCAGTCAGAATGTCTATTATTTAAAAGACAGAAATAATAGATTTCATTGAAGATGTGGCAAAAAGAGAATTCATACACTATTGGTTGTAATGTAAATGAATACAACTTCTATGGAAACCATTATGGAGATTTCACAAATAACTCAAATTGGAGCTATTATATGATCCAGTAATCCCAGCACTGTGTATCTACCTGAAGTAAAAAATCCTTACAGCAAAAACATCCCTGCACTCATCTCATATATTTATTACAGCACTATTTGCAAGAGCAAAGCTATGGAATCAACTGTCTATCAACAGATGATTGGATAACAAAAATGTAGTATAGGTACACAGTGGAATCTATTGAGCCATTAAAATCATGTATTTTGCAGCAATATGAATGGTTCTGAGGGTCATTATCTTAAGTGAAACAAACCACACACAGAGAGTCACATATCACATGTTGTCACTCATAAGTGGCTAGTAAGAGAATGTGTACACATGGGCGTAAAAGTGGAATGTTAGACAAGAGAGACTCCAAAGGGTGAGGGATTGGGAGCGGGTGGATGACGAGACACTACTGAATAGTACAATGTACGTTATGCAGGTGGTGGAAACCCTAAAAGCCCTGATTTGATCACTATCAATCTATACATGTAACAAAATTTTACTTGTACTCCATAATTTTATACAAATTATTTTAAAAGTTGGTTAAAATTAAAGAACAGAACTCTCTAGTGTAATTTAAGTGGTTTCTTTTCCCCTCCCCCTGCTGGAGCAAGAGGATATTCTTCTCTAACATTCACTGTGAGCACTAAGTTAGAGCTCTTGGAGGTAAAACACACAAAAGGTCCCCGGCCACCCCCATTACTGGGTTCCCCTGAAGTTTTTAACTCTCAGACTTGACCATACTGTGCTTCCATCAATTCATCAGTAACAGTTCAGATGTTCATACTCTGGCAGTTATTCCCAGGTTGGTTTCTGCTAACTGATTTCTGCTTTGGTAAGTTGTGATTTTCTGTAATTGCATTTCTATCTCTATAATTTTGAGAGCAGTGATTTCCCTTGTGCCCGTACTTCTCGGGTGGAGTTGTTCATTTTTCAACGTGTTCAACCTTTTTACTGGTTAAAATGGAGTAGCAACTTCTAAGCTGCTTATACACTGAACTAAAAACTAGCAGTTTCTCTGCTTATTTATTAAAAACAAAAATAAGCTTCTAAATTTATGCCAATATATTTTGACTTTTACTGAGTATATCTTGAATTATTATTTTTTAGTTTCCAAAATTAGATAATGCAAGCATTTCTATGTTGACATAAAATTTGGTGTCCTTTATTCTTACACAGCTTTTAGAGGTCTTACAATCCAACAACTTAAATCCTTTTAAAATTCAGAGTTGAAAAACTTGCTAAACCGGATATTAAAATAAATAGGACAAAATGACATAGCTATTTCAAAACAATATGATTCTGAATAAAATGTTAAAACTATATCATATATCACTGAATATATAAGTATCATTGCATTTAAAATCTGAATTATGTATTCAAGCAAATCCTAATATTTGAACTTCTACATTTTTTTTCAAAAGGACTAAAAAAGATATGTAATATTTATGCAGCCTTCATTAAAGTATATCTACAGTTGCCGAGGAGATGAAACAAAATGTCCAGAACCTTTTGTTGTCTTTGTAGTCACCATGAATTGTTACTCAATTCATGATTCTGCATTACCAAAGACAGAAAATGGTCCAGTGAAGGTCCATTTCAAAATATATATTTTTATTTTAAATATAAATCCTACAAAATATGTCACATGTAAAGGTGAATAAACATATTTAATTATGACAGGTCATATATTTTGGAAAAATATTTTACAAAGCCTTTATTATTCTTACTTTAGAATGTTTCATTAATATGCGAACCACTTAAGAATTTTCATGTCTATTTCAAAGATTTGTTCCTTCAGAAAATACAATTTTTTTTGGCTCAGAAACAACATACACACTTTGCCAATGAAGTACTAAACATTGTAGCTCACTGAATAATGCAGATTTATAATGGTTTCAGGAAGAAACCCTGAACATTGTGTCACCTCACACAGAATTGACAGCATCAGTAGCCTGGCAAATATAGCCCTTGCAATGATATTATTTTTATTTGTTTAACTGAAATTCTATTTTTGGTTTCAATCTCATACCATATGAAACACACATACACACAAAATAATCATACTAAATTTACTCTTAGGTTCAATAGGGAATAGATGATGAAGATGCTTTTTACAAAGTGAATAAAAACATGATAAAAATACATCTACATTAGTTTAGCACAGGTAATAAAGCTCACTTTAGAATATGTAAGATTATTATGATATGAAATAATCAGAACAAAATTTAATATATAGGTAAGACAGTTATCTGCCAAAAACAAAATTATTAAACTAAATTAAAATGAAGTTCAACTATATGTGTTGGTATAAACATACTCTTATGCCATAAATACTAATTATGTCAAAATACAGATGCCAACTTAGTGCTCTAAAGATCAAATTCATACTTGTATGTGATTTTTGAAACATTACATTTATAATTTACAATTTTTAACTCAAAAACACAACTTATCTCTTCTTGTGAACATTTAAAAAAACTTTAAAATCTGTTATGCTGAATGCTGATTATATATACTATATATGTATATACAAATAACATGAAAAATAGTGACTTGAATTTTTTTCAATTGTGTATTTCCCCATTCACAATACAAACCAGGCACAGGTCCTGGGCTGAACATGGGATAGGTTTATTCTACCTCCTCTTTCTATACCATTAGTGTAAGAACACAGTCTGTGGAAAGCACCAGGAGACCATAAGCTGGATTTTTGAAAGAAATTAAGGTCAATAGTCATGTGCCAATTTTTTTCATTTAGAATAGGATCTTTCATTTTCATCTACATAGGTACAAGAGCTGGTCAATACTCAAGCCAGAAGAAGCGGAAACTCACAATAATATTTTAGGATCAATCTATTTCTATATTTTAACAACAGCTACACTTTTAATATGTTTCAAAACCAGGCATTCATTTATAAAGGCTCATAGTGGTATAAAAGGCAAGAAGGGAAAGATTTTTAATTCTCATAATCTCCATGAGCTGCTCCAAAGTCATTTTAAAGGAAATACGTTTCATTAAAAAGTATTTTTCTTAAAATCTGTTCCCGTTCCCGCATATAATACAAATAAGGATACTGGCATTCTGGCATTGCATGTGTGTGTGTGTGTGTGTGTGTGTGTTAGTGTGTGTGTTTGTAAGTGGGGCTTGGAGTATTATTATTAAACTCATAAGCTGAAATATTTCCATCATTTCTACTTGAAGTTGAAATTCAGGATGGAACTCTCAACTCCTTTTCTGAAGAACGCTTTAGGATTTACAATATGAATATTATTCTCCAGAGTTAGATATTTGCTGGCTCCAGGGAATTTTACCAGCTTTTTTCACAACTTACAGAAAAAGTACCTGAAAAAAAAAAGCCACAAGGCTTTACACCGTTGGGAATTTATAATGAAAAATAAGCAAAATACTGAGGAAATATCTGTAATTAATGTGCTTAGGATGGGAAGCTCAAGAAAAAGAAAGAAAAATAAAGTACTGTATATCTTTGGCAGAATATGCCCTTGAATAACACTGGTGAAAAATCTAGTAAAACTGCACATCATCTGGCTTTTTTGTTCCACTAATTAATAAAATAAAAATACACAAATTATCTTTATTTAAGTAATCAAGAAATTTAAAAAGTGAAAACAATCAAAGATAAATCATATATTATTCTAAACCAAATCCACTTGACAAGGTACATTTTAAATAGTAATTTTTTCTACTACTGTAATAATAGGCTAGAATACTATTTTCAGGAAACTATGCAAATGTTGCCACACTAACAATGTAGTTTATTTTCAGACATAATTAACTGTCTAAAAATTTGTCAGATGCAACATGGCACTCTTCTTCAGAATTGTTTTCATTTCCTTTTAAAATATTTTTATAATAAATAGTATCAGTATACATTTATTTTCTGTTTCATTAAACGATTTTCTTTATGGGAAAGACTTGCTTGAAATTATTGCTATTTTCATACATTAATCTCATTATATAAAATGTTATTATATATTTAAAGGCTAAGATAATTTGAAAACATTATTGGCCAGGTGTGATGGCTCACACCTGTAATCCCAGCATTTTAGGAGGCTGAGGTGGGCGAATCACAAGGTCAGGAGTTCGAGACCTGTCTGGCCAAACCCTGTCTCGGGCATAGTGGTGGGCGCCTGTAATTCCAGCTACTTTGGAGGCTGAGACAGGAGAATCACTTGAACCTGGGAGGCAGAGGTTGCAGTAAGCTGAGATCACTCCACTGCACTCCAGACTGGGTGCCAGAGTGAGACTCTGTCTCAACAAACAAACAAACAAACAACAACAACAACAAAACACCATTATTAAGGACTCATCTGAAATTAGGATAGGTAAAATGCCCTTTCTTCAATATATAATTATAATTACCCTTATTATATTCTTATTTCTGCTTTAAAACTAGAAAATAAGTGTCTTATTCACTCTCAGAATTTGGCAATGTGAAAATGTCCACAGTATAAATGACATACAAATATAACTGTATGAGAAGCAAGGCAGAAAAAAAAATTGCAGGAAATCGTAATTACAAATAAATGTATCTTACTCTTTGTAGTCCTTCATACCAATCATCTTGCTCAAACCAATTTGAAATGTAAGTCATCCAAGCCATAGGGTGTTTCTACTTTAATCAAGGCAATTGGAAACTCAGCATCAGAATAGTCAGCACCTAAAGTAACAATAATGTGTTTCAACCAAACAAGATTTACCAAAATCTCCCTTGTGAAACAACACTCAGTACAAAAGACTAGAACTGCACAAATATTTCAGCTGAAGCATTTTTAAGTATTTACAATTAATAGTATCCGTTAAAAGAATGAAATAAAAGTCCATATTCAAATAAGAAAAAAATCAATAATAATGTTGTTGGATAGTACCAGAGAATGCTATATCAAATATTTTATTAACCTTTCTGTTTACATTCTTAAAAAAAAATCTTAGATTTAACTTTTGTAAGAAATAGAGCAATAATTTCTAAAAGTTACCAAGTTAAAAATAAGGAATCCATAAAAATTACAAAATAGGCTGCAGAAGATGAGACACATTTTCAACCTCAGGAACTGGAAGTAAAGTTAGAGATAGAAAGCTTCTAAGTTAAAAGGTATACAACGACAAAGCCAATCCTATAATATTTCTGTTTGCTTCCAGCCCCATACTTGAGAGTTAAATTATTTTACATTTAATTGCTATCCACCTAACTGCATCAAAAAGTTTAAAGACACCATTTAATACAGTGCTAATACATTCAACAGAGTCAAAATCACATGAATGTAATTTAATTTTAGTTTTACTCATTTTTAGAAGAAATTATTTGCTAGCCATGATGAGTAAGATATTTCTTGCTACACTGGAGAATATTTGGACTTCAAAATATCCTCTATAAAGTTAAGATGTTTAACCCAACATATGAAAGGTTGTAAGTGGTCTTTTCTTCAGCAAAGACAAAATAAAGGAAGGGAGGACAAAGGGATAAAGGATGGACAGAAGGAAGTGAGGAAAGAAAGAAGGAAGAGAAGAGAAAAAGAGAAAATGAGTGAAATGACGAAAAGAGAATTAAGCAACAAAAGAAAAGAAGGAAAGAGGGGAGTGGAGGGCGGAAGTGAGAATTACAGTTTTTGTAATTTGAATGTTTCATTATTAAATATCCAAAAAGTAAGATAGCTTTTGTTCTGGCATAGAAAGATACGCTTGTATGAAATATAACTATCACTGCAGCTAGTTGAGAACAGCTTTATCTCCACTGTAATTCCTTACTCTCCAGAAGTATGTTCCAAAATATCTGAGTGAAGCCTCAAGTCAAAACACTTGGGAATACGTTCTTGCACGTGCAAGAAGCTCCAGGATTGGCAAAATCTCTTGCTTAACTTGTCTACATTTCAATGACTTCATTGAATCTGTTACCTTGGCAATTCCACCCTGCCCTTTTAGTTTCCAGAAAGCCCCTTGTTTTGCTGATCTGCTCAGATTTTTAGTCGCCTGCCTTATCCTGTTCTCTGGATTTGTCCCCTCTCCATTGTTGTCTGTTTTGTCTATTGTTTATCATATTGTGATTTGCAGTTCTTTATCTAAGTCCTGCCATCAGCTTTTTTACTCTACTTTGAACTTGTATCTAGTACTGGCCCGACAACACTACCAACCTCATCTCTGCTTCAGTTATTCCAGTGTGTCTCCCATAATTCAACCTACAGGCCATACCAAGCTCCTAAACTCCATTTGGAGCTACGTGCTGATCTAGATCTCTCAGCCCTTTACCTGATAAACCTAATGTACCTCTTTCAAGTAAGGTTTTCCTTTCTACCACCCCAAATATTCTTTCTCTTTCATTCTCCATTTCAATGACTGTCATTATACTCAAGATAGTAACCTGAGATGAAAATATCAAGTTCTTTGATTCTTCCATCAACCTTATCTCCTCCTACTACTACATTTGATCACCAAGTCTTACCGAATTACTTTGGGAAAAGCGTCTTCAGAAGGCCCTTATCTTCATCACTAATGCCACTACTTTTAATGAAATCCTTCCTTGTGTCTTGTACAAACTAATGCAATAATTTACTTACTGTTCTCTGCTTTCAATGTAATTCCCAAATACATGTTGCTCTTCTATGCTTTCAAGACTTTTTGCCTTGAAGCTTTTAAATGTTTTGCCCAGGCTGCCCCTTTCACCTTTTCCTGAGTGGTGAGCACTTGCAAGTTTTTCAAGACTGAAATTAGATATCTCTTTTAAAGACTTTCTCGAATCCTCCAAATCTCTTGTCTGTGCTCCTTCATATCTAGATTTGTAGGTATTAGATAGTGATTATTTTTGTAGATATAAATTGTGAGTTCCCCAAAGGACCAAGCCTGAATCATCTTTGTATAGAAGATACAAAACGTGTGTTGAGTGAACTGACATATGCAGTGCTATGAAAGTTTGTCACCTAGTGGCAGTTCACATGAACTGAAGGCACATGTCTCAACTGAAACTTGAGAAGATTTAAGGAAATGTATCTAAATCTAAATGAAATGGGATTACTATCCAATTCCTTGTAGGGAAGTAGCTAAACAAAATCACTTAATAAATTGTTTTTGGTGTTTTTTTAAGAGTAAAATAAAACTTGAATTAGTAAAAGTACTTTGTAATCATGTCGCCACCAAGTGTGTCTTTATTATACTATATTAAAAATCTAGTGTGAATAAAATACCTTATTTATAGAGCATATAATAGTTATTTCTTGTGTCCTGATACTTTTCCATGAGCACTGTTTATTATATTTGCAAGGAATAATAAAAGCTGGATATTTCACATTGTGTAATCTCAGATTAAATGTTATCTTCCATAAAAAATATTTTTTTTTGTTGTACTCCAGGTATTTTGATTAAATGAAAGTAGATGGGATCTGGTTCATTTAGTATAAGAATGGTAAATAGGTTTTAACTCTCACCCCTCCCTGGGGTGCAAAGTTGAAACCTTTAGCTGACCTCAGAGGGGAGGCATGTCATCATCACTCAGACATAACTGAGATAAAAAAGAAGAAAGTTTTGAGGAAATTTATTACATATCTTCACATCTCTGTATCTAGGTCCATGGGTCTAATTACATGGATATTTCATTTAAATCGCCCATTTGACTTACTTTAGTCAGAAAATTCTTACTACCTATTAAAATTAGTGATGAAGGAAATGACAAAAATCAAATATTATATATCACTATGTAAAATAAAATAAGTAATGAAGTAGTTTTCACCATCAGAAAACTTATTGCAGGCATTGAACAGCCAAGCACACAAATAGTTTGTGGTCTGGGTATTGGTCCTGATTTTTTTATACCCCTCTCTGCATTAATGTCTTTGCCATAGCTCATCACAGCCATCCTTTGTATCCCTGCCTGTTGTCTTTAAATTTGCTACGTAATTTGCTGTGCCCAGTGATATGTGGGCAGAAGTCACGGTTTTCCAGTTCCAAGCCCTGAATGGATGGCTCATTTCCATTCACAACCTTATGCTTCTAACATCAACATGAGAAGAACACTCCATAGCTACACCACTGATCAAGAAGCATAAGAGACACATGCAACAGTGCGCCCCCAGACAAATCAAAAACCTCCAGTGAGAAGCAGAGTCACTCAGCACAGCCAAAGTTAAGTCAGTAAAACACCAGTACAATCAGAGTCCACCCTCTGCCTTGGCAGCAGATTGGTTCCAGGGCCCCACAGACATCAAAATCCTCTGATGCTCAAATCGGTTACATAAAAAAGCATAGTAATTGCAAAAAACCTATGAGCAACCTCCCATATACTTAAAATCATCTGTAGATTACTTGTAATACCTAATACAGTATAAATTCTATGTAAATAGTTATGTTATTTTTATTTAGATTTTTAATTTTTATGAGTACATGGTAGGTGCATATATTTATGGGGTACATGTGATGCTTTGATTCAGGCATACAATGTATAATAACTGTATCAGGGTAATTGGGATAGCCATCACCTCAAGCATTTGTCATTTTACTCTTTTAGTTATTTTGAAATATAAAATAAGTTATTGTTAACTGTAATCACCCTGTTGTGCTATCAAATACTAGGTCTTATTCATTCTATCTAACTATGCTTTTAACCCATTAACCATTCCCACTTTTTCCCTCCTTCCTTGCTATCCTTCTCAGTCTGTCTCTGGTAACCAACATTCTACTTTCTAATTCCAGGAGCTCAATTGTTTTCATTGTTAGCTCCCACAAATAAGTGAGAACATGTGACACTTGTCTTTCTGTGCCTGTCTTTTTCCATTTAACATGATGTCCTCTAGTTCCATCCATGTTGTTGCAAATGAGAGGATGTTTCTTTTTTATGGCTGAATAGTACTCCATCGTGCACACGTACCACATTTTCTTTATCTATTCATCTGTTGACAGACACTTAGGTTGCTTCCAAATCTTGGCTATAGTGAATAGTGCTGCAATAATAAATAGGAGTGCAGATATCTCTTCAATAGACTGACCTCCTTTATTTTGTGTATATACTTAGGGATTGCTGGATCATATGGTAGTTCATTTTTTTTTCTTTTTTACAGTCATTATTTATTTATCTATTTATTTATTTTTTGAGATAGAGTCTCGCTCTGTCACCCAAGCTGGAGTACAGTGGTGCAATTATGGTTCACTGCAACCTCTACCTCCTGGGTTCAAGTAATTCTCATATATCAGCCACTCAAGTAGTTGGGATTACAGGAGTGTGCCACCACGCTCAGCTAATTTTTCTATTTCTTTTTTTTATAGAGACATGGTTTCCCCATGTTTTCCCTGCTGGTCTTGAACTCCTGGCCTCAAGTGATTCAGCTGCCTCGGCCTCCCAAAGTGCTGGGATTCCAGGCGTGAGCCACCACCCAGCCGTGATTGTTCTATTTTTAGTTTGTTGAGGAACCTCTATGCTGCTCTCCAGAGTGGTTGTACTAATTTACATTACTATCAACAGTGTACAATAATTTCCCTTTCTCCACATCCTCACCAGAATTTGTTATTGTCTGTCTTTTGGGTATAAGCCATTTTAACCGGGGTGAGGTGATATTTGCTTTGTGGTTTTTATTTGCATTTCTCTGATTAATGACAATGAGAATGTTTTTCATATACCTATTGGCCATTTTATGTCTTCTTTTGAGAAATGTCTACTCAGGTCTTTTGTCCATCTGTAAT